CAAGCAGTTTGCAACCAAAATTAACTGAGACTATGGGCAACATGGACCGTCTTCGGATGGAAATACACAAGAATGAGGTTAGACTCTAAAACAGTTCCTTGGAAAATGTAAATGATTGGTACAATTGTACTTTGCCTTACAGTTTTAAATATGGCACACAGAAAAACTACTTGGTTTAAAGAAGTGTTCCTGATACAATTTTTGTGGGGTGCTGTGTTTGCAAGTWTGTTCATCTAGCTAGAATAAGGATGCACATTATTAAAGATGTAAACTGTTCAGAAGAATATATTATTATTCACTTATTTTGAAATTCACATGTAATAAAAAAGCCTTTTTTTTTTTTTCCTTAACACTGGTATGGAGTGTAGGCTAAACRTAAAGGATAGGTTCATGCTTTGTGTGAAGTAATTATGAGACTTGACATCTGAACAGTCTCTGTGTRTCTGTGAATTGTATGCAGTTAAATGCATTTGTTAAATGTGCTGGTTTAGAATCAAGTTTTCTTTRACACCAATGTTTGCCTTTTTTCCCCAAGGCTTGGCTCTCTGAAGTTGAAGGTAAAGTAGCAGCCAGAAGCGACAGGCGGCACAGCAGCGATATCAACCACCTGGTGACACAGGGCCGAGAGAGGTCACTATTCTGTCTCTACTGCTTTCTATCCTATGCTAGAATCAGCACAGCTCCCTGATAATTAATAGAAGTGATAGTTGTTACTTATCCTCCCCAAGTGTATGTCCTYTTAAAGGGAAATCTTAATTGGTTCTGACTGCTAGAGGTCACTTCATTCCATTTTGGTAACATACAAAAACAGTCTAATTGAAACACGTGCTCATTAAATAGCAGTGCCTTTTAAACCTGTCTTACTCCACTGTGTAAGGCTTACTAGTTTTCCGTGTTCTGTGGAGACAGGAATGTCRAATTTATGTTTGTTTTCGTAGCAGAATCCAGTCTAAACTTTTGCTAGATGAGTTTTTTCAGAAAATCACCTMTGACAATAATACAAAAAGTGCCAACAGGAATTCCAAAACAATACCCATGACCTGCCCTTTTTTGTGATGCATGGATGTTCTGAGTTTTAGAGCYAAGAACCCCTCAGAGTCCTCATGCTCCAGTCTTTGCTTTCCAGCCCTGAAGGGAGTTACACGGATGATGCCAACCAGGAAGTTCGTGGCCCACCACAGCAACATGCTCATCCCAATGAGTTTGATGATGAGTTTGAAGATGATGATCCATTACCAGCTATAGGACACTGCAAGGCAATATATCCCTTCGATGGTAAGGTTAACAACATATACTGAGATTCTCTGACCGTAGGGTAGGGATGATTTGTTCTAGAGCAGACAGATAAAATGATTTAAAGCAAATTACCTGTATGAGTAACTAATTGCTTAAAAGATCAATGAAGATACTTTAAATTACTTTAATTCATGAGCAGTACTTTTGTGCTGTTTTAAGATAAATATTAGCGCAGCTATTGGAAAATATTCAGCTTTACAAATTGGGACTAGGTTTTTTTCTGTAAATCTGGTCATATCTTCTCTTGCACAGATCTTTCATTCTTCCTGTTTATATACAATTTGGAAGCTATGCTTTGGGAAAGAGATGACTTGAGATTCTGTCTGAACAGTGAGACTTCTTTGCCTCTTTTTTTCCCAGGTCATAATGAAGGCACTCTAGCAATGAAAGAGGGGGAGATTTTGTACATTATTGAGGAGGACAAAGGAGATGGGTGGACAAGAGCTCGAAGACAGAATGGAGAGGAAGGCTATGTGCCAACATCATATATAGATGTAACGCTAGAGAAAAACAGCAAAGGTGCAGTAACCTATATCTAACAGTAAACTGGCAGCCCTCAGTTGTACATTCCCCAGGGAAAATAGTGGAAAAATCGTAAGTTACACAGGCTCATGGGAAGAATTACAGTATCAGAAGTCAGCAATGATCTCTTATTTGCATGGGGAGTTAGCTATAGTTCTTTTCTGAGATGACCAYGTTAAATTACGCATCTTGCACTGGTCTGTAATTTTGACCAATGTCTTCTGCTTTCCTGCTTTTGAAAGCACTAAATCCAGTTCAGCTATTAAATTGAAAAAGACCAGGATTCCTGCTTGTTCTGTAGAATACATAATTTTTATAGAGAACTGAAAAAATACTTAAGTTTCAGAGATCTCCAAGATTTACTGTTCCCACTTTTATAACTAAAACTATATTCTTAAAACAGAGATCYTTTTCCTCTAATAACTAACTGAACTCAGTTACTGAAAATTATTAATTTCCTTCCTTAGCAAATTCTTGGCAGCTTTCACTTCTTAAACAGGAAAATATTTTCTGATTCTGAAAGTTCAACAAAAATACTCAGGAAAAAACATTATGATTAAAAAGGACAGAAAGTCCACTGACCTGCCTATCTCCTTCCTTTTYAGTACTTGTAATGTAGAATGTTCTGTATTGGACATGACATCAATGTTTTAACTCTAGATACCTTGAACAAACAAAAAGAGATCACATGTAATGCTTGATGAAAACTCCCTCTGCTCCTGATAAGGGAATGATTTTATATTAATCTGTGCCTGTGAGCTAAGTCTTTGAATTGTATTGTGTTTAGTTTGAAGACAATGTCTTAAATGTACAGCAGTTCTCCTCATTGTTATATCAATGAGGATAGGATACTGCTTTGTACAACTTGATAACTGGGGGAAAAAAATGCTAATTTCATATTTCTAATGAGAATTTGTGGAATTAAATACAAGGCTAATGTTTAGCCTCTGAGAATGGCCTGTTAGAACTGAGCACGCCTCTCTGTCTTCTRAAGGCCTTCAGTAACTTTGTTCTTTTCTTTTTCCTCTTGGACTGCAGGTTCCTGAAGCGGGTTTCTGAGAAAATGGGCGAGATCTTGAAGGAGGTTACATGCAGCTGCTGGGGGGGTGGGGGTGGGGAGGGGAGGGGTACTAGACTGGGAGGCCCAAGGGAAAAGCTAGTTGCATGAATGCATGCAGACATACATTTAGTCACTAACATCTTAGCATCTCCATATATAGGTAAGGATGTATTACAAAACCTTCAATTTGTGCAGGAAAATAAGAGTTCCATTACCAGAGTAAAAAGGCTACTGCTCCTAAAATTGCTTTATTTTCATTGTCCTAGGTGTCCCAGGTGCACAAACTATATTCTAGCTTGTGCTGTGTTTTGATTTTCTCAATTATGCTCTTTTCCGACTCACTTTTATTGGCAGTCATTTAGAATCCCGTGTCAGTTATCAGTCTGCCTGTGCCACCTCCATGCTCGCCTTAACCTCCTCCTGCATGCCTAGCACAGTCAGGCATGTTGTCTGTAACACTTTGCTGTCATTGCTTGTCTTATTTTGTAACAAATCATTTTCTTTAAATATCTTCAGCACTAGTTTCATCCCAGTATCCATGTATGCTGCTATAACAATACCACTGCAACCATCATTACATTCCAGATGTTTGGCATAACTGATAAGAGACCGTAATGTGTTTTGTTAATTTGGGGAAATAATGCATCTCAGCTCTAGCCTACAATGCAATCAAGAGAAACTCCTAGAACTGTGGTCCATCTTCAGCCCTTCAGTAACCTGTTGTGAGCACTGAAAACCTGGAGCACAACCAGAGGATTCACCACTGCAAGCTAATGACTGTTTTCACAAGTCAACCACTTGCCATTYAAATGCTGCCTTAAACTAGAGTGCCTAAATCTGTTGTTTGCCAACACTACCACTTACAGTATCCCGCAAAGGGCTTTGTGTCTCRGCTCTTTCACAGTGCTGCAGCTGCTGAGGTAGCCACGGTAGGTGTTTTCTAGAGCTCTACTTTACTGGATACATGGTGCATCCATGAATTTTATACATTGAAACGTGTATTTCTTCATTTGACTTTAATATTTTTTTAAAAGATTTTTATGGAAACTGTCTTTTAGTTTTTCACTATGAAGTTCCAATTTCAATTACTGCAGTGCTAGTCCATTTCCAGGCGATGCTTCATTGTATGGACCAGTTGACATTYGAGTGATACTTTGTAATGATCTTTGTGCACTTTTACTTGTAAACAATTGAAATTTGGATATGTTTATACGTGTAAATATAGTTGTCTGCAGTGCCCCTGTTGCTTATGTTGTCTTGCCTCCCATTTGTGGTTCTATTAATAAATACATCATATCTGATTGATTAGGGTGATAAGAATTAGACTAGAGATGTTGAGGGGGAGGGCTACTTACATCAACACAAGCTTGTCAACCCAGCCACCTGCTGTTTGGCAGCATATTATGGAATAACAATTAAATTAACATCCTGTTTTTCTGGGGTCTGAAGCAATATGTGGATGCAGCAGTGCTGGATTCTTYTTCATTTCAGTGTTATTAGGAAGTGTACTACCAGTAAAACTGAATTTGAGTGACTTGTGTAGAGGTTTATTCCTTTTGTTATGTATACCACTATTACACAGCTTGACCTAGTGTCCTATGGGGCCTATTAAACTCTAAAGTTTAGCTTTTTCGAGCTTGTATACAGGGTTATTTATATAATAATGTGACATTACTCAATACTGACAAAACTACTTAGGTAGTTTTTTGGGCTTGGGGTTTTTTGGGGGGAGTTTTTGGGATTGGGGTTGGGTTTGGTTCTTCTTTTTTTTTTTTTTTTATCTAGTGCTTTTTTATTTTGGAGAAAATGCAGTGATCCTTGTGGGTCCCTTCCAACCCAGAATAGTCTGTGATTCTGTAATTCTCTGAAAAGGAGGAAATGTRATCTGTGTATTTTCTGGTAAAGGGGCCTGTGGTCTGCCTAGCTAACAGCCTTGCAGGTCAGTAATAACACTTCCTGGTAAAAGACTAAATGTTCTTTTCACACTACTGTTTGTTTTTCTGAAACCAGGATTTGCTTCCTTTGGAGGCAGATTGCTTTCAAGAGGGATAGTGCAACTTGTATGAGGGTTATTAAACATAGGAAAAAGCATTTGTACTTGCACAGCTAGTTATAAATCACTTACTTATTCTAAAATTCTGAACATGAGTTGTCTTAAAGAATCAGACATTTTCCAGTAATTTTTTAATCCTTTTTGTGCACATGTTGATTTCTTAAATGTTAAATGCTTTGTTTAAAAATAGTGTTCTCTGTTGAGAATATTTTCATGGAATAAAAAAATCTTTTCATGGTCTAAGTCATTAGCTTCTCCATTTGTCTTCTGTTAAGCCTGACAGGGTAATGTTCAGTTTGAGGTCTGTAAACTCTTGTTCTGGTGCTACTTGTGATTGTAGATGGGAGGAACAGATTCTGGTGTTGGTTYTGTTGTTGTCCTACTCCAGTACTTTCAATGCTCTAACATCTCATTCCAGAAATAGGCTTACTGACAACAAGCACATGCAGCTCTGATTGTAGTTCTTAAATATTTGTACAGCTTCTGAGGATAACCCTTAGACACCGTCTGTGTGACAAAGTGGGATTTGCTGCTTAAACTCTCTTTGTATAATAAACATTGTGCATGCTGATTTYCTATAAAAAGTGGTAACATAGTAACACCTTATGCTTTGCCTTCATCCAAGGAAGAAGAAAAAGTTCTTACCAAAGTGATTCACCTTAGTAAATGAAGCAAGTTTAATACATACATACACCCACTTTTACTCATGTCTGAAAGCATTTTAATTATCTGGATTGTTTGTTCTCACCTTTTCATCATTCATTCCTGGCAGCGTGGCTGTTGTGCAGGCTCCAGCAAAAGCTGAAGTACTACAGATGCTGTCTTAAAAAAAAGGGGAAGTTGTCCCAACACATACACAAATTAATTTTCTAGTTTTATAGGCACAGTGATGTTTGAGCCCTCTGGTTACAGATAATAGATTATTTCACCAACTTGCAGTATTTCTGTGATCTGTAAATATGCAAATTATTTCGCATAAAGACACACTTCACAATGCTATCTACAGTGTTTTATATTCATTAAAGGAATATTATACAACAAATTTTCTGCCATGTCAGATACGTAATCTATCATTTTATTTACACTATTTGCTTCATCTTGGTATTAAGATACCAATGCCCTTGCTCCTCRTCATCATTAAAACACTGCAACTCTGAGGAAATAAAAGCATAATCTAACTGTTTAAAGGGGTCAGCAAATGACTTGGTGACACTGTAAATAAATAATTTGTTTAGAAATCAGTAGTTTTAAAACAAGTGTGCATTGTGCAGTTAAAAGTTCTAAACATCTTGTGAAATGCAAGAAATGCATTATCAAATTGCCAGAAGAATGCTAAGGTTATTTCAAGTGTATTACTTAAATAGTGCTCCCAGAGTCTTATATACTTAATTGTTCCACCAGCTTCACTGGAGGAGGTTCCAGTTTTCGGGAAAGTGCAGTTAAGATCCGGCTGAACTTCTCGTATCTTTCACTTTGATTAACTTGGGCTCCTTTGCTGCCCCAGAGCAATCTCATTTGAAATTCTGTCTTGAAGATTTCACTCAGCTCTTCATCTGGCTGAAAACCTAGTAAGCAAAAAGAAYCCCACAGTATCCATCAGGCATTTTTTTTTTATTCTGTAGAAATGGCTTTTAAACCGCCTTCTCCCCCTATAAGCTCTAGTGTGCTGATTCCCTGGTTCCTTTTGCACAATGATTTTAACAAGCCAGTAAAATAGTGAAAGTCCTTGCCAGCTTTGGCACGCTAGTAGCACACAGATGATTGTAAGGGACCAGGCTGTTTTCTGCTCAATTCTAATAGTCTAGAATTGTCATTATAGCCAAACCTTAAACACAATTACTGATGTATAWGTGCTGCCTGCAGAAATTACTAAATTTCTCTCCATTCCCTTTTCCACTGCAAGTTTAAAAAATAAGGTCACACTGTTAACATGTGGCTGCTTTCTGGCTGTAGGTGGTCAGGATCTCAGTGCTGCGACTTGCACTGTTGTAAAGAATCTAAGGGTGGTGTTATAGCTGTAATATTCAGAGTAGGAGTTTTAGATTGTACAGAAGACAAAGAAGTTTCCTCAGTCTTGCTGTACTTCTGTTCAGTTGCCAGAAGGGTCAGCGTATTGAGTCATGAGAACTTAAGAGTATGTTTAGCAAAAATGCTTGCTGGAGAGCTGTAGTGATGAGTAATCTACTGTCTGCTTTTAMACAACATTAATATCCTCAGACTGAGTTTCCTGCAGGACATTCACTACTATCTCAGCTCCCACCAAAGAGAACATTCTTCTCTCTGACTTTTTAGGGGCATTTGGGCAGGGACACRACCCCCAGCTGGTGCTGCAGGGCAGCAGCTTCTCCTACCTTCCAGGAGCCGCTCTGCCGTGAGGCCAAACGTCTGTGCGTTCTGGGCGATGAGGCGAGCTGTGCCCAAGTGCCTGAGCATTATCTCACCACTTTGGTCAGTGCTTTCCCACAGCTCCATGCCTTCGAAAGCAACAGCCTGGCGCTCCATCAGGGTAATCAGAGGCATCAGCAGTGGCACTGTTAYGATGTTCTGTGGAGCACTGATAGTTTCTGGAATACAGTAACAGTCGTATCACACTATATTCATACTRTATTATCATTTCATATCAGACATTATAAAACTTGTTAATTGAAGGAGGTAGCTGCAGTGTTCTTTTTTGGAAACTACTATTTGTCTCCCATATTTCAAATTAACACATTACCTCAAAAACTGTCCTAACAGTTTCCAGTAATGGCTGGGGAAGAAGATCAAGACAAATCAGTGTTGGAAAGCTGCAGGGGGAGGTTCTGCTAAATTACCAGACAGTKGCACAGATATTTTAAACACTTTTTTTTTTAACACAGGTTTAAAATATTTTCAAAATTAGTCATTCCAATAAACAGCCATGAGGCTACCTGTTCTCTTGGAGAAATGAGAAAAATTATTTTCTCTGCCTTGCACCTCCTTATAAATTAGAGCTGCAAAGAATAGCACAGGGGCATACTTAATATGACCAGAATTACCTAACCCATTCTTTTTTATTTGAGGATTCATATTCTGATTCAAGTCACAAAGCAAATAAKCAAAATCTGCCAGAATGAACTGTCTTGTGAGGAAGGAGATTTGTTTCCTGTCTTTGAGGCAAKATGATGCAATGTGTCAGCTTCTGCTCCATACAGAGGAAGTATGGATGTGGGAAGAATGTTATACTCTGCAGCAGTACAGGCACACAAACACATACTGATGTTTGGCTGGCAGACTGTTTGCTTCTGTTTGTTATCATATGGCATTAGACAAGTCTGCATAGTCATTTTAACATGCAGTGCACAGCTATGGAAAGAGCAGCTGCCTCMTCTCCCCACACAGGAAATCAGGGCGAGTTAAAATACTAAATAGAAACCAATGTCATTCATACTCACTAGTCCACTCATCTTGTCCTTCATGCAAAGCTTTGCAAGATGGTTTCAGCTGTTTTTCATACATAATGGCAGTCTGGGTATAGCAATGTCTTAGAGCAGTCCAGGTTTGTTCTAATCTACTGACCTGTTAATGCAAAATMGAGAATATCCATTATTGACTCCACAGCAATCTGCAGACAAAGTACACTGCTAGACATTGAGATGTAGAGCAGTCATGAGGACYCTCCTTCTGATGATCTCTCTAGTCATGAAGAAATTGCTCAAATTAAATTAAATAAGCCATCAAACAACTCCACATTTTAGAACAGAAAGAAACAGATTTTTACCTGGGGCATTTCCAGTGCTTTCATAATGGCAGAAAATCCATATAAATCCCCTAGTGACTCCTTCAACTCTACAGCAACTTGGATGATCCTATTTAATGTTGCTGCTCTATCTTCCACACTTCCTGTGCAACCCAATATATCCACAGCTATTCCTATTGCCATGGTATTGTGCCTGTAAGTGAAACAATTCATGTGAGTGATTACAAATTATTAAATTTACATGTGTTCAAAGAAGATCAGTTCAAAGGTGTATTTCTATTTTGGTGTGCCCAGAAAACATAGTCTTACCAACATCTTTGCACCAAAACCAATAATGATATATGGAATTTACACACACAGGGTTTAAATTAATGTTTAAATAAATTCTAAGATACTACTAACTACAAAAATCTGCTCAAGCAATAACACTTTCAGGAAAATTGCCCTAATTCCCTTTGTCCTCYACATTCAAATCTTGTGACACTCAGCCCTAGATCTCAGCAATTAAATTACTGAAATATGAAGCATAAAATGTAGATTAAAACACCCTAAGTGTTCTCTCTTAATTTGTGCAGGGCTTTTTCAGAAAGCTTYGCTGATAATTTTTTACTTTATCAGATTCTTTAGCCCTTGCCACAGGACACAYGTACACTTACATGTTCAGATAGATTATAGGTCCCCGGAAATTTTGTTTACTTGTGCTTGTAAAGGAGAGCTGATGGCATTCAGCTGTCCCAAGGACCCTGCTTTCAACACTATTTCCCTTTCCCTGTACTTCATGTGAGAGTTGTCCTATACTCATATCCTTAAGGAATCTTTTCCTATGCAAAAAGAATTTAAATGCCATGTCACTAAACAATCTGTACACTTGAATTCAGGAAACATGCAGGAGATCTTTCTTGGAGGAAGTGAGAAGGACAATGCAGCCATGCTCCGAGTTTCTGGCCCTCTGCCCTRGAAATGAGGAACAGGAACATTTACCTCTCAATGAGGTCAAGGCGCAGCTGATGTCCGTAAGGCAGGGTGATCAGTTCAAGACCAGAGTTCCCTCCCATATTCCTCCTCATCTCTTCAGAAACTTCTACTATCCTTGCCACCTGTCAAGTGCAAAAATCTCTGCATGAATTTTGAAACTAACGTTCTTCAAAAAAAAAATCCCTAGCCACATAAAAGTCCTCCAGGTTAGTGCAGGGCATACAGAGCATAGTGCACAGCATCAACAGTAGAATACAGACATCAGAGAAAAACCTTTCACTTATGCTTTCCCAGTGCCTTATACAAAAAAGCCAAGGAAATTTTTTTTTTACCTAACACAGTCATCAAAAAAAAGGTGTGACCAAAATGCTTTATAAAACTCCCATCCACTGCTTCCAGAAAGACATGACTATGCAAGTTCCAGGAAATGTAGTGCTCTCTAAGCCTGATCCTTGTCAGAGAGGTACTGCTCTCTGCCTTAAGGACATACGCACATGCTTTGCCTTTTTCTTTTCTTAAAAAAACTACTGCTCAGAACATTTTTGGTTACACCACAGGGTCCTCATAAAGATGAATTAGAAAAAGGACTGAGGAGGACACAATGTTGAGTGCCTAACAAAGCCAGTATGTGAAAGTTGACACCCTCACCAATTTGTCTTTGCTTTTCAAACATATTGTATTACAACTGGTTATCTCAGTGACAAGTACAATTGTTAATAATAAGCAAAACCACATTAATATGATGGTGTAAGATTATCTGCTGGTTCAAGGCCTATATGTTGACACATTTACAAACCAATCTGCCTGCAATTTTCTGATACACCCATCAGCAGGCTTCTTTGGTTATGAAATGATTAAAGCAATCTGGGCTGCACAAGCCTCRGCAGTACAAAACAGCATTGCAGAAAAACCTGTTTGACTTCTAGTGACACAAGAGTGATATGAAGCCCCTGGAGACACTGACTGCTATTCCATCACAGGCCTKCAAGCTGCAAATATCCACCCCATCACTTACCATATGGGTGATTCTTTATTAGAAATGTCATTATTTAAAAGGCAAAGTGAACTACTGATGCCACACAGAAGACATGAACTCTAGCCTGGGATCTCAGTACAAAGCATTCATTCTGGCCCAATTCATGTGCCAATCTCATTGCATCATGGAGTTCTTATCAGTGCAGTCTATGCAACAAGTTGCCAGTGAATGACAGGCACTGGCTCAGCACTAGGAGGTGAACATCAAACAGACTTCTCTACCTGTCCCAGCTAGTTACTGTTCCTGCTCCAAAATCCAGAAATCTCTTTCTGCAAAGCCCTCCAATGACTCTTATTTAATTACATTGCAAAGTTTRCATGATTTAAAATAAGGAGTCTAATAAAGAGCTAATTGAATATAATGTGTATATATACATAGAAACGTAATACTTCTTTAAGGCATGCATATCCTATGCCTTCAAGCAACATACTCTTTAACAATATATTAAAAGATAATTTAGTTAGTTGGTTGAAGGAAAGAAGGAAAAAGTGAATTTTGGAACTAAAATGTTAGACAATGCAGTTCATACTCTTGGAATGAGAGTAAAGAAGCCTCAATCTAACACTTCTGAACAGAGTGAGCAGTTGTGGAGCTGAGTTTTTCTGAGTCTGCATGAAGCCTCATTTAGCAGCAGCCAACAGTGCTACTGAGYAGAGCAAAAGCTGTATTTGCTGTTGGCAGGCCCCCAGCAGCTGGCAAGGGTCACACAGCTGCTCCAGGGAGCTGCCCCCTCATCAGACCTACGGTGCCCATCAGTGCAGCAGCACCAGCAGTGCTACAGATGTGCTGCTGCTGGAGCATCACCATTCCCACTCCTCTTCCCGKCCGCAATGAAGTTGCCCAGTAAGTAGCCGTGTGTTTTGCTTCTCAAACTATTCTTAAAAAAACTAAAACCACCAAAGCCCAACAAAGCTTGGGGGTTAGATATCCACCATACCATTTGGCKCTTGTAGCTGCTCTGCAACAAGTCCAGGACTCAGTCATCCCAGCAAAGTCATGCAAATTCAACTGCAGTTACTTTTCTTGCATTACACAAAGTCATCATCTCATTAGGAAATKATTCTCCTGTCTTTCTGATCCATTAGCTGATCTCCAAGCCCTGGCAGCTGACCAAAGTCTACAATGTGGAAAATAGTTCCTTGTGTTTTTTACATCTTTCTAAGCAATTTCACTAACATAGTTCTCTCACAGGAGAGAAAAGCACAAGTCCTGATAGCTATTTTCCCACACCACCTATCCAGCTGTAAGACAGGAACTTAAAGATTAGAAGAGCAGCTGGTTTTCAAAGTTTAAATATATTTAGTTCCATTTTGTATGTTATGGCCATGTGGCAATCAGGTCTGTCTGCTCTTTGCCCTAATGAGCTATTTCCTGCCATAGACAGTTCTTCCTACAGTGCTTTAAGCACAGAGAGCTCTTCCTCCAATACAGGAGAAAGGCTGAATCCCAGGWATGCAGCAACTGATAGGAGATTTGAAACACATTTAGGACTTTGCGAATTCGAGTCGTGAGTCAAGCATGATGAGAGACTTTTAGTCCAGAGAGTTTGTAAACATTCTTATTCTTCAAATGGAAAACAAACACCCTAAAAATTCCTGCAAGCAACACAAACATTACATTAGGTGCAAATCTACCCATTATTCTTTTCAAATCAGTTATTCAAAAAGTCTAAACTGGCACAATATATAAAAAAATACATAATTTTTTTTTACCTTGCAGTCCATTCTAAGGATATGCTGTGCAATAATCTTTGGGTTATTGTTGGTGAAAAGCTCCTTAACTCTTTTTAACATTGTTGTTTCCAAAGGCTTGTTTTCTGGAGGAAGTAGTTTGGATTCAAAATCATTTGGTTTAAAACTAGACACCATCTCATAAACAGGTGCAGAAAAGATGCTGTCCTCTTCAGCCATCTGAGCTGAAGCTTTTAAAGGATCTGCAGAGTTCATTGTAGGATCATCATCAAGGATCAAATAGCTTGTTTCGGAGTTCCTGAATGTTGTCCTCTCCTTTCGTGCCAGATGTTCCACATAGCTGTTTTTCTGACATAAGTGTTGTTTTGTTGCTGTAGCATGTCTGGAGGGGTTTAGTTCACAATAGTGTTCTTCAGAATTGTGGGAAGTCAAAGGAGAATCTGGGGACTTCATGACGGGTGCCTTGCTGGGTTTAGGTGGAGGCTTTGGACAGAGCTGACTGTCTGATCCTCTAAGAGCTTCCCCCAGCTGTGACTCTGAGGTGACTTTCTGAACAACCGTGGGGCTCAGAGATGGTTCACTACCTGTTCTAAATGCAGGTGAGCCTGGACAGGAGTTTGTATCTGCTTCAGGTAATCGAGATGGATGTCTTGAACCTGCAGCGGAAAGCAGTGTTTTAGAAGGTCAAAATACACACAATTCCTGATGCCTGTCGCAGGGTTCACCTTCTAATGCTATTTCCTAAGGATAATATTGTCAGATAATTTCAATTATTTGATGGCAAAATGGTATATTTTGAGGAATGACCTAGCCAGCAAATTCCATTGACTCTCTGATCCTCCCAAAATCCCAAATACATGGAACAGCTGCACCATAGTATTATTCTGTGGTTAGCATTATTCTAATGCTGACAATAATTCCAGTCCCTGCTGCATACATAGGCTATACTGTCAGAGCTGGATAGCCTCCATGGCTTGGAATAGGAGGTTTCTTTGTAACCTGATCTAGGCTATAAAAACAGCAACTTCCAGCCACACCACATAAAGGATGAGTCATTTCTAAGAACAAGCTTGAGATGAAAGCAAAACTTCCCAAAGTCAAGCCTGAACCTGAAATAAGGTATGGAAGGAATGAATTACAGGAATGCTGATTTTTTTTGTGAAACAGAGCTAGTTTGAGGAGCTGGAGAAACACCTCCATACACTTCTGTGTATTTATGCCTCATGCTGTACCTGGTGCATATGCAAACCTTGGCATCCAATATGGGACTGAATCCTGTGTCAGATGCTCCCAATGTGCAATTCTCAGTGCATTTGCTGGTGGCCAGCAAAGTGGCCAGTTGCATATTGTGGGTGTCACTGCTTGGATCCAGATATAAAACAGGAACTCCAAATCACAGCCTATCACCACCCTTAAGCAGTATGATAACAGAACCTGCTCAAAGGATCCTGTGACAAAATGCACAGCAGAACTCTTCAGGCTGTTATAGTACCAAAATAAAAGTATCTGCAGCCATAGATTGGAATAATCCATTCATCTACGGATGGACAGAAAGTTGCTTTATAAATGTCTGCCCATCCCACTGTTAAACATGGGAGCACACTATCAAAATACAGTCTCACTATACAAATACTTAATATTCTCTTTGTCATGAGAACTCTTTCTACAACAGTCATGAAGAATTTTAACAGCACCATATCCAAAGAGCAACTTTGGAAGTGAAACACTCACCACACGGGAAGAGATGCATTATTGCAAGCTTCCATACACAAGTGTGTTAGTATGGAAATAGCTGTTTAGACCTTTGAAGAATCTGAGAAATAAAATCCCCAATCAACAATCGATCCAAGTGTTGCCACATCCTGGATCCCTTGTGTAAGATAATAGTGGCKGTGGAACCAGAGAGCAGCAAAAGGAATGAAAAGCAAAATGGATGGAGTGTAGAGAGATTGAGGGAGACAGAAAAACAGAACTGAGTACAAAAGCCATGGTAGTGTTTTTCTCCTAATGAAGAACATTACCTCACCTGCACAGTTCACCCAGAGAAAAGGTGGTTACCACAATTTCCATGAAACACCACTTCTACTTGACAGACTTTTGTCAGCAAGAAATGAGTGAAACAAGTCAGTTCTTGTCAAGCAAGTGAGGAAAGGTAACACCATCTACAAAGTTATTAATACCAACCATAGCTGTCATTTTTTTKGTGTGAAAGCCTGCTGAGTTGTGTGCTAAGGTTCTCAACTAGCTGGTGCATTGTAAATAAAAATCCTGTTCCAGTGACTTGAAGAGCAAGCAATGTGCTAAGGCAGCTTACAGCAGCCATTAAATATAACTGTATTTACAGTACTCAGAACATTCAGCAGTCTCACTTTGGTCTGAAGAGTAACAGACCRCCTGGACACACACCAATTGCAAGTATGAAACTTCTGATTACAAAACATACCTATTAGCAGATAGCTCTCTGACTGGTGAGCCTTTAAAGGAAATCTTTTCTCCAGAACATGATCCAAACTAGCTGGCTGGCTACCACTTTTTTCTTTGTTTCTAGGGTAAATAAAATGCAAACAAAAACATATCAATATATGCAACACTTAACATACATATCTGAGTGCCAGAATATATCATAATCAGTACAAAGATTATTAGCTTTTCACTTGGGCAGCTCATGATAATAAAATGTACTTCATTCATTCATAAACTAGTTGTTATGGCAGTGAAATGGGCTACAACGTGAATCACCCTGCAGCATTTACGAAWGTATTTTTTTGAACACTGGGACTTTCTAATGAAACATTTGACTTGAACACTGAAATTAGRATCCATTATCCCACACTGTGCATTATTATTCAGGAGTCAACTATGGAAAACCAGACTTCTCTGGAGAAGAAGCAAGCAGCAGCAAGATGTTATTTTAATCCTTTGTCTTACACRGTCAAGATTTGAAGAACCAATTGCAGTGCTGCTGTGCTTCCAGAGTCTACATTTGCTCTCCTACTTCATGGATTTGTGATCCTTTGCTAAAAATCAGCAAACCCTCATGCCTAGTCTTCCATCTCAAATCAGAGTGAAAACTCACATCACCTTCATTAGGAGCTGATACAGTTACTTCATTGCCTTCCATAAGGACAGTAAAATTAAGGTACCTCAAAAGATTTCCTCTGAGTATGCTCTGCTCCGGGGATTGCATGCTGGACATACCAAGACTCAGCCTTTTTGCCATTTCTGTTTTTCCTTCAGGAGCGCTCGGCTCTTTTTTGTGGACTGGAGTTACACCATATTTTTCTTCTAGACACCTGAGAGGMACAGTCCTGTTGATAGGCTGAAAAATAATTGCACCACTCTGCTTTGATATTGGCGTGCGATTCCCAACGTAGTATCGAACTAAGCCAGGGACAGTGTCAAAACTTTCCAGTTCAAACTGATACTGAACACGACAGTAGGCTTCATTGAGTCTTAGAACTGATTTGTTGATTTTAAAATGCTGAGAGGTATTTTTCCACTGACACGTGAGAACAAAGTTCCCAGGACTGGAGAGAGAATCCCTAATCAGAAAATCTCCGTCTCGCTGAACCAGGCTTTCTGCCACCTTGGAGGAAAAAGAATTATACAAAAAATTACTTTCAGAATCAGAAAACAATACATTACAACAAAATATTCTTAAACACAGAAATTAATTTAGCTACTCTGGGAGGACAGACAAAGTCACAAATACAAAGCAAAGCATGAAGTGTGGTAGAAGAATGATGTCTCCAATGCTAAATTAAAAGCTCATCCCACAACAAGGATGTRGAAGGGCTTCTTGGAAGGAGCCAGCAGCCAGAGACTGACCCACTTTTGCATGTGTATTTCTTCTAGTTTTCTWATAGAAAATAAGGCATGAAGAGAAAGCAGTGGCCCACGATTTCAAGTTCAAAGCCTCTGAATACAGAGTCACACTGAAGTTTAGAAGCCATTAATACAAGATCCTGGATTCTGCCCTTTCATTGCTACATGACAGAAGCTTTCATTTTTTATTCTCTGTGAACACTGCATGTGAATACKACTGACTAGGAAGAGTCAGAAACATCTTGTTTTTCTGTTTTGAGTGAGTCCTTTGATGTGGCAAAAACGGCGCTRAGAGGCAAATGCGGAGTGTGCAGCRGCTGAGCCGGCCCTGCCCCGGGGCTGAGGGAGGCCCGCAGGGGGAGCTCCAGCGGCACTGCAAGCTCCGATCCAACCTCGGCCTTAACATGTTTGTAATTGCGTTTGTAAGGATCCAAATTTCAGTTATTGCATAGATTTTTTTTCTTTTTTTGTTCCTTTTTTTCCTCTCCCACAAGTTCCAAGCACAAGACAGTAAATAAATAACATTTCAACTTCCGTTAAGAATRCTGAACAAAATTAATGTCAGTGTTCTCTAAACAGTATGTAGGCATAGTACATTTATATTCTCACATAAAGCTTAAATTCCATTTCCATATTTATTCAGTGCACGACAATCCTGAGCAATATCTATGTTCCACCAGGGTCAGCCCTGAATCTTTCCTCAGCCTCCTTTTATGCCAAGCTGGGATGAATACCATTGCTTTCACACAAATAGGCATTAGGTTCCTACTAAATTAATTCAGGTATCAGAGACGTGTACAGCACTTCAGTGAAATTTTGCCTGGCTATAAAAACTCATTTGGCAATGCAAAGASCACGTACCTGCCGAGGAATACGTCCGTGGTACCAGGCATGGCTACGCAAGTCTTCACTACTCAGCTGCAGTTCTTCCTCTAACTCCTTCTTCAGTTTTTCCGGGCTGTTGTCCATAACCTGCCTCTCCCTAGAAAACTGCAATAAAAGATTAAAAGCTTCAACTGTGCCAAGTTTAGTGATTAACATTTTACCTGGGTTACAACTTCYATCATATGACCTGCACTGGAATGCAGGTGCTGCTTTCAGCAGGCTGGCTTGGCTTTGCTCTCTAGATTGTATTTACAAACCCCAGYGTTCTGTGAGATAACATGTGATTGTTCTACACCGCACAGAACAGAGCAAAGTGTTCTGTCTGTACACCAAACTAATAATGACACACCTATAAAATCACTTCTCTTACTTCCTTTTTCTAATAACAATTCAAATATACAAAAAAATGGAGTTGGACCCAAATGCCCTGCTCCAATATTCTTCCTCCTGTTTAAACTTCCGTTTTAAATTTAGATTCCGGCCCAGCAGCCCCCTTTGAGCCCATCCAATTAAGAACATTCCAAATGCATCAAGACAGGCTAACCTGGACACACTTGTTCAATATTAATGTCGCACTAAATTTGCCAAAGTAAAATTTCAGTCTTACAGGGCTTATTTCTAATGGTAAAATTTGCACATTCAAGACATTCCCTTCCTAAAAGCTCGTTGGGGGCTTGTTGCCCCTTAGCACAAAACACATTAATTTTGCTTGAAGAYATCTCCATCACCACTATACAACTACTGTAAGATTTTCTGGAAAATTTCTATCTTCATCTCTTCTTGGAGCACAGTTTTCATGCTGGCCAACTCTGGCTCACTGGTCCTTGTGGATGCAGTGTTTCTAATAGTGAGGTGCAGTATCTTCYCTAGAGAGTGCCCATGGACCCTTTCATAAGCACTCAGTGGAGGGAAGTACTTTGGACTTCCTTTCATTCTCCAAGGGCTGGGACTCCAGCCCATCTTTGTTKTGCTGAAAAGTTTCAAAAGCCTGAGAACATGTTCTACTCTGATCAAAGAATCAGAGTAGACTTTCTCTTCAGAGAAAGACCATTAAAAATAAGAGAGGGAGAAAGGAGAGAGGGGGCCTCCAGCTGAAGCACAGACTAAAATGCACCATTTTGCTCCAGTGTATTATGGCTTCTTTTCTAAGGTCTGGATATGAGCCAAAGCTCACAGGTTCCTTTAACTGATGCATCGATGCAAATAAGGAACAAGTGCATTATTTAAAAAAGAACTAGGAAAGCCTGCCCACCAATTCCTGTTCATTCCATGAACATCGCTCTCTGTAGCTTTTTCTTCTTCACACTGAATACTCACAKCACCTAACCGTGGGAGCAGGTGGCACACATTTAACACTTCTTTCAACCATCCTCCCTGCAATTTCAGACAGACTGAATTACAACAGATTACCAGASAGCAGATTTTTGGTGGAATAATGCCAGAGCAGGCATCCTGCTGCCAAAACAATTTAAACATGCTGGGAGCCCAGAGAAATGCTGAGATAAATTCTTCTCTGCTTTTCTCAGAGAAAACTAGGGCTTTCTCTTAGACAAATCCYAGTAGCTAAAACAGAAAGGCAGAAGATAAAAACAACCTGGTAAAGAATCATTTTTCACCTGTGTCTCCCTTCTGTGAACCAGAACAGTATGTTACTTATCCACACAAATCTGGTTCAAAACGGAGAAGCATTTTTATGAAGGAGTAAATGCTTTGTGCTTGTGTACATTAGGGTTTCCATCAACTCCATCCGAACTTTACGAGAAATTTGTGCAGGATGAAAACATGCCACAAAAAAAAGACCTTCATTGAAAGAATTAATTCAGAAACCCATGTACAACATGAAGAGGTGAAGTTACYGGATGTAGAAAGAGTCACAGAAGAGGTCTGGTGAATACTGAAGTCCAAAAGTATATATTAAGTGTCAAAATGTAGTCACGTTAAAGCAAAAAATCCCTCCTCCACTCCAAACCCTTGTGACCTATCAGACCAGCACAGGTGAAGGACCTCTGGCACACACCTACCACTCGTATTTCCCATTTTCCAACTCAAATGGCTGGGAACCCATTTAAAGCTGWCTGGCAATGATTCTAAAATTAACAGCTTTTTCACTGCCACATCTTAGTGAATGATAGCAAGTATTACAGCATCTACATTAGCTAAAGGTAGAGCTAAGAGCGCACAAATTGAGCTGAGGCTTTTCAAGAGCACCTTTCCCCCTGACTGCACAAGGAAGTGGATGGAGAACTTCTAAAATACCCACTCCAGGGTTAACAAAGGCAACCAGCTACAATGCTGTAACAAGCTCTTAAAGTCATAGCCGTGTGTTTTGCTGATCTTCTGAGAGGAACTACTACTTTAATGTGAATCGTATTTAAGGTTTCAGAAGATGCTTTTGATTGAATAGAGATTTTAAAGAACCTGAAGCTACTACAGAAATTGTTACCCTCATACAAAATAATTTCACTGTATCCCAGCAGTAAGCAGAGCTATTGTAAACAGAACAGCAGACAAGGCAATAACTGATTTTGCTTAGGAGAGATATACTTTTAGCCAGCAAGAGGAACTACAGATCTTTACCAAAGACCCGTATAGGATGAAATGGACTAATTTCATCCATGGCACTCACACAAATGATCTTAAAAATACCAGGATGATATACTRAGAGATACACATTAATTACAAATACAGCACAGAATTCCTTCTGGTGGTTGAGTGGATTTTTCATTACTCAAATAAAGTTAATGAGATACATACTGCACTTGAACTACATCTAACAACACAGCAAGAAAAACATTTAAGGAATCCAAAGCAACCAAATTGTTAACATTCATGATTATTGGTTTGTTAAAAATYCTCTCCACCATGGTCTACCACATGGAATATACTCTGATTGCCAGGGAGGTCAGACATCCCYTGAGATGAAGGCAAGCATGCTTAAATAACCTTTATGAACTCAGTGAAAGAACTCCAGTGGCTAGCAGGAATCCCAGGACACACAAGGGGAAAACTGCCTAGGTAAGCAATTTTAGTAATAGCATGTCTTCCTGGATGGTTTTTTGTTTACTGAGACTGATTTTTTATAGAACCTATGTCTGCTAAAGAAGAATTGTGACTGATGAACTGTCTGTAACCTCACCAGCCTGTACCCTTSTATGCTCAACACTACACCCCAGGGCTCTGGTCTGCAAGAATCTCTGCATGCACTGTACTTCACATCATGCAAGGCTCAAAAATCACTCCAGGCACAGCCTGTGCAAGCATGTTGGCCTGTAAATAAAGAAGAGGGTAGGCTTACACCAATTATTAGCTGTGCCAATGGGCTTTCTTTCAAAAGAAAAGGTGGCTTATTCCACACAAGATGATGCAGGTAGTCCAGCCTTATGTCCCAACAGCATCTAAAAGCCAATGGGCAGCAATGGCAGGCTAAATGAGCACTAACTTCATAGTGACAAATCTTCACTTAGTAGTATGTCCTTGTTTTATTTCTTTGTGTAAGACAAATTGTTAGCTACTACCCAATGATAGAAAGAAAGCTGAATATACATTTGCAGCCCGAAGTGGATGGTAAAAAGAAATTTTAAAATAATTGAGGGCAAAAATTAAAGACTTCCATAYATTTGGCAACAAAACATGGTTGAAGCAACACTAGGAAGCTTCCAGTTTAAATACTTTCAGGTCTCTAATAGCAATAAGCCTGTCAGATATCCTTGGAATATAAAAGCAAATCAAGTCAGCAGAACTGTTTTCAAATACAGATGCTTTTCCTGACAACAACAACGCCCCACAAGTATACACTTTCCAGAACTGTTTGTTCACATTTTAGTTGAATTGTTTCCAGTCCTGATGCTATTTGAAGAGATTCCTGCAAYGCTGAGTTTTTATGAACGGATCCTTAAAATAAAAATATAAAACTACCAGCAATACAGTTTTATCAGTCTCCAGCAAAAGCAYTCAATCCTGCTTACATACCCTATGAAAGTCCTAGAGAGCCCAGACTTTAGAASAGGGAAAAAATTTCAGTCTGTAGTTATTTTAGTGTTTCTAATAAACTATGGAATTCTATGGAAGTTTATTATACATCTAAGGATTTAACTTCAGGGCCATTACACTAAGAGCAAACCATGCTTACAGATATAACAAACTATCTTTGATGTTACACATTATTTTACCTTTTTACAGGCAAACGTTAATCTAGCATACAAAAACTGGGAAGTATCAAAGTTTAAGGAAATGAAACATCAAAATATGATCTCAGGACAAATTTGAAGAGGACTTAAACTACCTACTATAACATGCTGTTCCTATGAAATTTGGGAATGCATTTTAATGGTAATTTCTCACAATAATATGCTGTTTATGCATCCAAGGGGTTACTTTGTGAGTGTTTGGCACTCTCCAAAGGAAACTCTCTATATCAAGCTCTTGTGTCAAACATCCTCATGGAATTTACCACATTAGATTGTGCTGAATAATCTACTGTATGAGACAGGCAGTAAACAAATAGAACTCCTACAGTTATTTCTGTATTGTTACTAATTAATTCCTCTTTTAGGTGATCACGTGTTTGGTTTATAGTTTAGCATTTTTTATTTGATTCTGGGAGGGGTATTGGTTTCTTGTGGTTTTGTTTGTTTATTTTTTGTTGTTGTTGTTTTGTTTGTTTTCCATTCTCCCCTCCCCACCAACAATTTAAATTATGAGGGAACGTCCTTTATTTTTAGACACTGTTTGAAAGTGGTCCAAAACCTGTCATGCTATATCCTCTCATTCAGTTCAGATAAAGCCAAAATTCACATCAAAATTCTTTCTTKGTATCCTTCTGGCAAAGTGCATTTACACAAAGCACAGCCAAGGACTGCTACAGGTACAAGACTAAAGGGGGCCACATTTCCATCCAATCTCAATTACTGTGCTTTGCACAGCTCTGCCAGGTGACAGTTAAGTGAGCCMAACAGGCAGCCTTGGAACCACCTGATTTCCTGTTGCCTTGAAGGATTCAAGGAAAAAGAAAAAGAGATGATTATTAGGGATTAATGAGAACAGCTTTGTARAAACTGAAGTGTGATCTGACTGAGGAAGAAAGACAAGCTGTACCTTTCCCAAAC